CGTGTGTGTGTGTGTGTGTGTGTGTGTGTGTGTGTGTGTGTGTGCGTGCGTGCGTGCGTGCGTGCGTGCGTGCGTGCGTGCATGTGTGCATGCATGTGTGCATGGGTCGTGCATGTGTGCGTGCATGTGTGCATGGGTCGTGCATGTGTGCGTGCAGCGTTAGCTAACTATTATTTATAATTGACTTTAAAAATGACAAAAACTATAATCTAAATTCACTTAGCGCATGCACATCTTGATAATGTTTATGATTTTATAAGTGAATTGATGAAAATATATGCGTTATGCATTTGTGATGGGCGCTGTGAGGCTGTTGTGATGTTGTGATGGCTGTGATGGAGGCCTGCTGATGACGGCTGGTGAGGCTGTTGATGTTCTGTGAGGCTGTGAGGCTGTGAGGCTGTGAGGCTGGTGTGAGGTTTGTGATGCTGTGAGGCTGGTGCAGGCTGTTGAGGCTGTGAGGCTGTGAGCTTGAGGCTGTGAAGCTGGTGAGGCTGTGAGGTGTGAGGCTGCTGCAGGCGTTGTGATGCCTGTGAGGCTTGTAGGCTGTGATGCTGTGCGGCTGTCAGGGCTGCTGATGTTCCTGTTGAGGCTGTGAGGCTGATGAGGCTGTGATGGCTGTGAGGCTGTGCTGCTGTGATTGCTGTGAGGACTTGAGGCTCTGTGATGCTGTGAGGCCTGTTGAGGCTGTGCAGGCCTGTGAGGCGTGAAGCTGGTTAGGCCTGTGAGGCGTGTGAGGCTGTGGAGGCTGTGAATGCTGTTTCAGGCCTGATGATGCTGATGAGTGCTGTGATGCTGTGCGGCTGGTGAGGCTGTGTAGGGCTGTTGATGCTGTGAGGCTGTGAGGCTGCTGAGGCCTTGTGATTTCTGGTGACGCTGTTTAGCCTGTGGAGTGTGAGGCTGTGAGGCCTGTTGATGCCTGTGAGGCTGTTGATATGCTGTGATGGTTGTTGATGCTGTGGAGGCTGTGAAGGACTGATGAGGCTGTGAGGCTGTGAGGGCTGTGAGGCTGCTGAAGGCTGTGACGGCTGTGACGGCTGTGAGGCTGTGAGCTGTGAGTGTCTGTGAGGCTGTGAGGCTGTTGAGCTGTGAGGCTCGTGAGGCCTGTGAGTTGTGATCTGTGACGCTGTGAGGCTGCTGAGGCTGATCGGGCTGGCTGGCAGCATCGTTTTTCATATACCGTATCGCTATGGCATTTCCTCCT